AGAGATGGACTTTACAGGGATGGAGGGACCTTCCTGTGGGAGGCAAATAAAACATCTTGGTTTGTTCAGCTAGCACAATGCACACTAAAATGTGATGTGTCTGGGAAGTGCGTAATGCACTGATGAGCAGCACAGGAAGTGCTTAGAGGTTTTCACTGCATGTTGAAATTTAATGTATCATTAATTGTTATTAAGTCATATGCTATGTTCTTTATTCCTTTCTGCTCATGCAAATTGACCATGTAGGAGTTTTATTGAAGTAAAGACCAATTTTTTTTTTATTGCTTTAAAACAAAGTTTTGTTAGGAATTGAATTATTTTTAATGTGTTTATATATATATTAATAAAAATATGTGATGTATTTAATGTTTTTGTGACTTCTTGAGTTATAGTGATATCTGGAAAAAGGTAGCCATAATACTTAAAATCTTTTTGACTTCTCTAAGGCCTTTGACTTGAAATAGAGTGACACTTTGGGTAATAACCAAAACTTACTCAAAACCAACCTTACAAGCATCAAGCAATTTAGAACTGTTTCAAAAATTAGGGTGAAAGTGTAATAACAAAGAAGAACCCATGACTGAACAGTTGTGTTTCTGTGCATTTGTTTGCATATGGAAAAGTCGTTAGTACTGTGCTATTTAGGTGGTTTTCAGAAACAACCTGGGAAGCACAATTGTTGCCAGCAGTATTTGTGGATGCCATGAAGACTGTGGCTATATGAAATAAGGAAGAGCACAGGTCAGTGGGCTTGCAGTTAGGTATGTTAAGTGCAGTGAAACATAGGGACATACGTCTAACAGCTACAGGACAAGAAATAAATGGGGGGTTGTTTTTGAAGTGGTATTTGAGAAAAAACACAGCCATCGTGGTAAACAGTCAGACATGGTTCCCCATCTGACCCTGTGGCCAAGGATATTCATTTAGGTGTGCAAAAAAGAACATGAAGTGCTGATGGAGAAGTGATACTATCTTTGTATCTTCTCCTGTGACTGCTACAGTGGGGTCTCCATGTCTGGAAACACATTTCAGAAAAAAATCGCCAATTAAAGAGGGCACAGAGAAAAGCCACAGACTAATTAAAGGATTAGAAAAATATGGTTTCTACAGAAAGGCTTAAGAGCTCAATTTATTTAGGTTGTCAAAGAGAAGGTTAATGGGTGATATGGTCATGGTCTCTAAGTGCCTACAAAAGGAAGAAAAATTTGATCATAGAGGGCTCTTCAGAGCCAGTTGATGCTAGGTGCTGCAATGAGACATTCAGACTAGGTGTAAAATCCTGTTTTAACGTTTAACCAGTGATAACCGTTGCTCTCTCAAATAAGTTACTGAAGGTGCCACCAAGTTTTCCATTACTAGACTTCTTAAGTAAAGGTGGAATGCTTCTGTTAGATGATATTGTCTTGTTCGATTTCTGCTCGCAGAGTTAAGGAAAAAATTAAGAAATGGGAGCTTATATATTAAGAATTCTTCATGCTAGAGAACCACAGTGATAACACTTAGTTGTTGACATGATGATGAAACTGATTCTTTAAACGTACCTCTGTCTGGCATGGCCTTTAGGCTTGCCTTCATATTGAAAGCACTTCAACAAGCATTCTTGATTTAATGGGACTATTCAAATGGATTGCAACCAGTGTAGTCAGTGCTGGGAGTATGAATGGTTATACGTTATCCTATGCATAAGGGGTTTATCCAAAGCAGATCCCTTGGGGAGTGATGTGATTCCAGCCACAGGTCTCTGTGCTGTAGTGGGGGCCTGCTGCCCCTGCAGCTCAATGGTGGTACCTAGAAGTGGCTGAGAACACCTTGTCTGCGTCTCCGATGGCCTGAGCTCTTCATCCCAGTGTGCGCATAGCCTGGCAGCTTTGCTGGCATGCTTCCCAGGCACATGCTACCTACCTGTTTAACAGACATGAGCATCTCTCAGAACAGTCAGTCCCCCAGGAACCAGATCTAATCTTCAGTGGCATAAAACTTGATACTTGTAATGCTGTGTTAGATGGCACAAAGTGGATGCTTTCTGTAGTGTTCATCTGTCTCATACAGGCTTTTAAAACCTCTTCCAGTTCTTCCAGTCCCAAAGTTCCTATTTCAATAATTCAAGTTAGATGCTGATACCAGCAGAAAAGTAAATCTCATAAAAGTTTCTTTACCTTAGCTATCCCATCATTTATAAGTAATTTTCGTCTTCATGATGAGGTGTGCAGTATCTGATCTTGCTTTGCCTATTTTCTCTGCTCCGTACAGGCTTCCTTCTTTGCAATTTGGCTAATTTCCAGATAAAATGGTTCATTTTTTTCCTCTACCTCTTTCTCCATTCCAAGTTTCCTATGAAGCTGTGTGCATCTTCTCCAGATCCACACAGCTTCTGTATGGGCAATGGGTAGAATGAATGCTTTGCTTTCACTTTTATATGCTTACTTCCAAAACATCAGCATGCAGTAAAGTGGCCAGAGCAAAGAATGTTCTTCAGACCTCTTTCAGATCATATCATCTACAGTTTCCATTTAAATGGTTCATCAGAAAAGTTCACCTATTAACCACTCTTCTGGTTAAACATGTCTGTGACATCACAGTCATTAGCAAATGATAGACTACATACATGCTGACACCTACATGATAAGAACTAAAATATCAGAAAGGGAATATAGAGTAATTCTGGGGAGTTCTTCCAAATGGGTTAATAGGGTGCTAAATCATTACAGCAGTTCTTTATTAAACTATCTTCCATTCCTAGTCTGTAATGTAAATGACAGATTTCACTTTGCTAATCTCTGGCATTAGGCTGTTTAATGCTTCTTGTATGCAAAAAGTGGTTTAGCCCACATTGCCTTGTATCCACAACTCATTCTTTAGAAGGTCATTTCTTTGGCAAGATGCCTGTAATTTAGTGGAAGTAATAACAGGCTATGTGCATTTTTCTGGATTTTTAGAATTCCAATTTAAGCGATAAGCAATTTCTGCAGTATCTGGAGGTTCTTTGACACACTGGAATGGAAAGAGGAGAAATGGAAGGAAATGACATATCTTTTCTGTTCTTTTTCCATCCTTGTTTACGATTTTTCACTCAAGTATTTCTTAGAGTGTGGTTTTCAAGAAGTGGGGTTTGATTAATGAAGTGCCAGATATAGAGGATGTCATCAGATGTTAGTGTTCGTTTTTTTGCAGCATGTGAATTAGCCATGGTGTTTTTGGTATTCCTCTATTTTTTGTTTACTATTTCTGTTACCCTGTTGATAGTAAATACCCTTTTATAGTAAATCTTAGTACATAGTAAATTTTGACATTTAGACATCTGTAGAAAGTTGATATTTATACAAAAATCAGACCAGTTTTACATTTTTATATAAATCCTTTATTTATTTGTTTTAAACCAAGAGAGTGGAGAGTGTTAGACTATCTAGCCGCTAATGCTTTCATTGACGTAGAAGCTTATGTACCAGGCCTAATGCCATAAAAAATATGTTACATAGGGAAATGGGCAGTTATCAAAACATGACAAGAATTCTATTTTTGTCAATATCAGCAGGTCAAATACAAGTTCAGTTTTTAATTTTAGTAATTTCTTACCCTGGTTACCTGAAAACCTGTACTTGAGATAATAGACTTCTATATAAAAGGCATGCCTCAGTTTAATTTAGCTTGGGGAACAACTCTGATGAGAGCCACTAAAATAGTATGTGTGAAGGTTTTATGCCAGATTTGGGATTCCATATTGGTACAATTACTGGATATTTTATATATAATTTCCTTGATGTACTTATGTCTGTGAGCTTGTTTGCACCTATAGGATTGTAGAGATTTTTCACTTCAGACATATCCCACATGAGTGTCCATCTAGTCATTATACTTGTTCTATCAGAAATAACTGCCCCTAAGTGCTTCTTGTATTAACAAAACCTCTATTTAAGGGGGGGGGGGGGGAGAGAAGGAAGCATATATTTGATTTAGACTATTGTGTTGCCTTTCTTTTGCGTTGTGTCCTTCAAGAAATTACTACATTTCCAGATAATGATGTGTATTTCTTACTACTGAAAAACTTTTCTTTCCTCATCCATGTTAAGAATTACTTCCATGTTTTTACTGTGCTCCCTTGTTACAATACTGTTTGTGAGAATGTGTTGTGCTATTTGTCAAAGGCCGTTCTCACAATACATAAACACTTCAGTCTAACTACAGCATTGAAAATACTTGCGATTCAAAAAAGTGGGTGATACTGCTGCTTTATTGTGTAGAGGTATTTGGAAAACTTCCCAGTGACTTTTCAGCAAGCACTTAGTGTGATTCATAATGCTCTGGGATAGAATCACAGATGTGAAAGAGACCTACTACATCATCACTTCCATTTTCATATGAGATCAGGTTATATTCCCTCAACAGAGGATGCATTGAGTTTCACATACATTTGTGAAACACTGGATGCGTAGGTTCACAATACATTTGCTCTCTAACAGCTTACAAACCTGGCAGGAAAAGCATTGCCCTGAGAATTTATTAAAAAGCATAAGAAGAAACAGGGAGTAAAGTCTGACTTGTACCTCTATTTTAAAAAGCCGATGCAGATTTTTATGTTACGCTTTCAGGGATGTTTTCAACAGCCATTTAACTGTATCACCTGTACTAAGATATTTGTATAGGGATGTAGCACGTGAGCCCTATGCAGGGGCATAGCCTGAATGTGTTGGTATGTCTGAGGAGATAAAATACAATGTATTTCTTTGGACTTAATTAGTATGACTTACGGGGGGGAGGGAGGGGAAGAAGGGGGTGGAAATCCCTATTTCTTCATTAATCTGTTTCTTAGTTGCAGAGAATATATTGCAAATATAACTTTTTTCAATTTATCGTAGTGTCTTTTATTGGTCAGAATAGATCACACTGAATTCAGGCTCTGTCACCTGTGGGAAGTTGTAGCAATAAATTCAGTTTTACAGCTTAAAATCTTTCTTTTTTTCTCTCACTCTCTTCCCTTCTCCATCCCTCCCTTCCCTCCTCAGGCAGCCAAGGGCAGTTTCCACTTACACAGAACGTCACGGTTGTTGAAGGGGGTACAGCAAATTTGACCTGCAGGGTCGATCAAAATGATAACACCTCCCTCCAGTGGTCAAATCCAGCTCAACAGACACTGTACTTCGATGACAAGAAAGGTAAATCATTTCCTGAGCTCATCGTTCTACATTGTTTTTTCTAAGAAAGAAATGTTTAAAGCTACTTCCCTTTAATACTTTAACGCGAAAACATTAGCTATGATGTTTTCAGCTATAATTATGACATAATCATTTTGTTTGAGGTGGTTTGCTGAAGGGCTCTCTTCCATACAAAATTGTATTTTATTATTAAAGGAAAAGAATTATATTTGAAATTCCTATTGCAAGTTAATTTGGAAAATATTGTTGCAAAATACCTTGGATGAGCGTATATGGGTGGTAAGAGACCAGCAAGGGAAGTAGTTCATAAACCTTGTGACTTCCCTTTATTAGTGTGTGTTTGTGTTTGTACATATATATATGTTACATTTTATGTATATAATCCCACTATTTACTTCAGGTGCACTGCAGTTTTTCTGTTACTGCAATACGGAGTTGCTGTGGTAGGTGTTCTTAACAGGTAATAAAAATGCTCAGTTTTAGTGCCCTGATATTTCCAATTATAACGTGCATAGATTTTTTTAATTTTAGTTAAATTGGGGGGGGGGGGAAGACATTCCTTACAAAAAGAACAGCATTATCACTGTAGTAGGATATATTTCTAAGATCTTTATCTTAATCTGATATGAAAAAGCATTGTATTTTACATAATAGAATGTTGAGATTAAAATTACATTATATTCCATAAAGAAATTAAAACTCAAGTTATGAGGAATAAATTCATCACTTGGCTTCAAAATGCAGAAGCTTTGGTTTTGATTTCAGTGTTACAGAAGTTCAGCAATATTTCATTCTTAATTCTAGTGCTTGAATTTATTCTGAAAGGTGGTACATACTCTAAAACATATTTTAACAAGTGCAGTTATTCCTCTGCTTGAAATTAAAGAACCACTGTCAAAATGCTTTGCTGGATGGTGACAAGACTTTAAAACACCTTGTAGGACTGAAAATGCTTTGTGAATCTATGCACTTCAATAAAAGTAGAGTCTAAAACCTGTCATTTTATACCTGCCGAAGCTGCAATCAAAATATGGGGTTTTTTTGCTATTAATATAATAGCTGAATTGAATCTCTTGATGGTGTTGAAGTGGTTCCTTTCTCTTTTATCTAATTTCCTGTAGCGTGTAATCATTTGATTTGCAATTTCTTTGAAATCATAAGTACCGTTTGAACACAGGATTGAAGATGAGAGGTTTATAAGGTGAAAACTTTACAGCTGTAAATCTAGTCTTGTAACCTTTACTCATATGGACCCCCCTATTAATTTAGCTGTAATCACTGGTGGTTTGGGATGGGTAAATAAAGTCTGCAAAAGTAAGCAGAAAGAACTTGTCTGTTAGAGCATATCAATATGCAGCAAATCTGTATCTTTTATAAAATAAGTGACATTTTAAAGGATGCTGAGAAGGACAGGGAAGGACTGCAAATAGATTAATTTGAGCTTTGTGGCCATTTTGGTATGAATTGAATTTTCTGTGTACTTTAGCTAAATCTGTACTTTTACAGCGAATAATTGAAGTTTGTATTACTTTATAATATAATGAATTGAAGCAACAGAATTTGAATGGCATGCAGCATAGTAAGGACTTAGAAGCAATTTATATTCCCCACAGGAAATGTGAGGAGCCGAAGTGTGTAAATTTAAAGGACCACACTCTTTACTGAACTGCTAGCTTGTCCCAAAACCTTGAGGAATACTTGACTCATTTTATCTAGGGATTACTGTACATCTGTTAGACAGAAAAACGTCTTGGTGTGGTCAAGAAAAAATTAGGTCCTTCAGACAGAAATATTTAGTCTTTCTTATGCTGGAAGGGCTTTGCATTCTATGTGATGTGTCCAGACTCGAATATACCAGGGGGAGTAAGCACCATCCAAGTGCTACATGGGAAACATTCTGCCACTTCTGAAAACCAAGTTGCAGCTTTCGTTGGCAATTTTTTTGTGTATGTATGTGTTCTGATAAGGAAGACAGAGATTTCCTTTACAGGCTTTGATGCTTGGGTAACTGAGTCAAAATGGAGAGAGATACTCATGTCTGTGATATCTTGGTGGTTTCCTCAGTAAATGATGGAAAGTGTAACTGTAAAGGCTTTTCTTTTTTTTTCCTTCATTTTTTTTTCCCACCTCTCCCAGCCAAGCATACAATTTGGCTATAAAAAGCAGCTTTCTACTAGATCCAGTCATTACGTTTAATTTATTGAGAGCAATGCCTCAGCCAGAGTCTTTTCAAACCTGTCTTTTAATGTTAGCCAAAACCAATCTTCAGATCTTACTTTTCCTTTCAACACCATGAAAATTGCTATTTTAATAGCTGTGTTTCTCAAAACCTCAAAATTCATGAAAGTTTTCATGTTGAGTAGGTTGTAGAGTATTACAGTGGTGTAGGGTTAAGGTCTGTGTAGGAAACAGACCCTTAGAAGAAGAGCACCACCAGTAGCCTTTATATCCATCAAAGCTGAGTAACTGTTGATGTTACCACGTTCAGAACTAAATCAAATTTGGATGCCTTTAACTTTACTTCCCTTCAGTAAGTTATTTTCCAGCTATGTACTCATAAGAATGACAGATGCAGGAATGACAGTATTTGTTTTTTATGACTGGAACTGTAACAAAAAAAAATCAGGAAACCTTTCTATTGATTGCTCTGTATTTTAGTAAATATGAGAAAGGTAGTAAAATGAAGGAAGGCAGTTAAGTACCAAAAGAGGGTCCAAGCTGCAGCAGGAGATAAGGGAGATGACAGCTGTCAACATATGGCAGAACAGGTGACAAAAATGCAGCAGAATGTCCATGCATTGAAAAGCCCTCAGCTTCTAGGTTATCCTTGGTGGGACCCCTTTCATGTTCACACTTCTTTCTCAAGCCATTTGATTCCTCTGCCTTCAAAAAGCATTTTCTGACCAGAATAGAAAATTTGCTGGGGACCAGCAAAAAAGAGTCACTTGTTCACATGGAGGGAATGTCTGCTTCCCAGTCCCATGCCTTTCAACAAGGGGTTAGTTATTAGTCTCCATTTCATTCAGAATGGATGAAATATTATGGAAAGCATGTTCACGCCATTTTGCTTTTTACTAAACTGTGATGCAATCATTAAAATTGAATTTAGGAGTCGTAGTCTTCCTTTTTCTGTTCTAGATATTCCAAGGAAGCATGGAAAGCAGTGAGCCAAATACATTGATACCAAAGCTACACTGTTAAAATTATTCTTCCGGTTCTCCATGTATGGAGAACCACAAACATGCTACGGCCCCATGTTCTTCAGTACCGGTTTTGCTCAGTTAGGAGGATTTTGTGGCTAGTTAAGCACACCTCCACTACCACCCTCCTAGCTATTTAATATCGAATATTTATGAAGGAGGCAAAGACTATTTTTAACTTCAGACATTTTTGGCACCTGGCCTAGACAGTCTTACAATGATACAGATAAGAAATGGGTAGAGTTTTGTTCCAGAAAAAGCAGTACTGTAAATTTAGTGAATATGAAACCATGTTTCAGAGGTTGCTTCCAGGTCCTCATAACTTGAAGTAGTTGATTTGGGTTTTGTTGTAAATTTAGACCTAAAACATGTTTGACTTACTGTGGTAGTGGGAACTGTGGGAAGAAAAGAACGTTATAGCTTAATTTTACTAGCTAAGCCACAGAAAACATTTGCTTCCCTCTGACTTTTATTTTGACACTCTAAATTAAAGCTGGAACTAACTTTGTCTTATTATTTTGACAAACAGTAGTTAAAATATTTGACAAATGTTTGATCTTGTGTGTTGGTCTTACTGATGACCTGTCTCCTTCAGTGTGAATGTCTCTCTCTTGTCCTTTCTGCTGCTGCTTTTTTTCTGGTTCCTCTACCTTGTAGCTTCAAGGACATTGTTTGTCAATTTGGTTTCTAACTCATCCTCTTTCATTTGAAGCATGAAGTCTTTACTTAACAGTAAAGTACAGTGTAGTTTGGATAAATTGTATTAAATTTTAATAGGCTTTACAACCTTAGCAAGAACCCCCCTCTTTGGTTTCCCCCCACCTATACAGAGTTAAAGATCGTGTCTTCCCGGAAAATAAGAATTCACAGCTAACCCTGATTCAGATTCTTTGGAAACAAATGCAAATCACATGCTGCACATAGAATGAGTTTTTCCTTGCACAATTTTCAATTAAAATGAATAATTGCCATAGAAACCTCCATGTCCCTATATACACCCAAGTACCTATAATTGTGTAGCTGCCTTTGGAAGAAGCACAGTGTGCAGTGATGTAGGACTGGCAGATATGATTTTAAATTAATACTGGTTATTTTATTTTATCTTCACTGGTAGCACTTCTTAAGGGTTTTGAATGGGCAGTAATCAGAATGACGTAAATATGAATGCAGATGTGTAACAAAAAGCGTGTAGCACAGAAACACAGCAATGGCTGATAAAGAGAAGACTGAAAAAACCCTTCATTTAGCTTGCTATAGCAGCTGTCATCTCATACTCCCTTCTGGTAGGGAATATAGACACATGTAGAGCAGGATAAGGAGTTACAAAGGAGTCATGACCAATGGTTGTTGATGTCAAAGGTGTTATATCCATCAAAGGTGTTATAGCTCATCAATATAAAAACGTGCAATCAAGACTATAAAAATGAAGAGAAACAGTACCTGGTGTATACATACCTAACAGTTTTTCTCGGTCAGACAAGGGCAAATGTAAGATATCCACTTATCACCTTAAGAGAGAAGTTTGCAGGTCTGTTGGTAGTAAAAGAAGTCATGTGTTGACATTGATCGTGACAAGTTTGCCACAAACTAACATGTCAGATTTTGACAAGACATATGCCTGGTGCTAATCATAGATGGCTATGTCCCTTGTGTTTTCATGCAGTAGTAGCACTTTCATGTCTTACTGAAAAATTAGAAAGTGCATTCCAAGCATATTCCAAGCTCAGGATTATTCATCCTTCAGCAGCAGAATATGTTTCTTTAGATGACCTTTGATTTTTTTACACGTAAAAGTACTTG